TACAACATGCTTAGGGGCTGGCCTTTGTCTGTTGTGCATTCCCACCATGACAGATTTAGCAAACTGCAGCTGAGAAGTTACACTGGTTTGTACTTTCTGCTGCATGTGCTGGGGGAAAAAGCTATTGTTTTTGCTGCATCACTGGCATGTTGATCACTTTGCCAAAAAGCATACAGTTTTGCTGCTGTTTGTATTTTCGATCAAAGAATGCAGGCAAGAACAAACAGAAATACTAAGAAGGAGCTTATTATAGAGTCTCCACGGCAGTGCAGGGCTGCAGGTCCTTGTGAAGTAGAAGTGGAGAGTCCTGTGGTAGTGCTGGTAAGAATTGTTTTAACAAGCTGTCTCTTCCCTGTGATAATTCCAGTTGTATCTGTCAGTGAAAAACTGCTTAATCTGCTAGTGAGAGGTTCCAGCATTCTTACCTGTGAAGAAGGTGTGTTTTGATTCTTCATGTGTTGTCTGCCTTTTTAATTAATTTTTGCTGTTCTGGTTTACTGAATCTTTTGTTCCCTCTGGGTGTGACTTTGGAACTTGATTTTCCTACTACCTGCTTTTCAGAGTCTGTTCCGTCTAGCATAGATGTACAGCTCTTTGAACCTAGCATGAAAATTACTTATGCTTTAAAATACATTCTGTCACCTCTGTTTATTAACTACACAGTGTATCTTTCAATATAAAATACATTTGAATTCTCCAAAGACTGTGTGTAGTGGTTAAGTAATGTTCTAAGAACTAAATAATTCAGTTGTACGGAGTTAAAGGATTTATTTTTTCAATGCCTTCATTGCACATTATTTGAGAATTTAAGTTTTTAAAGTATCTTCCACTGAGGGAAAAGGGAATATTTCTGTATGTGGGGGAAGTAATCAAATATGAACTTTATCTTTTTTTGTTTGAAATATTGCTACACACTTAGTTGTGTTGGAATTTTAATAGTACAGCAAGAGAACATAATAAGCAAGCTGTAATGAATCCACCAACTCTCTACAGCTAGGACAATAAACCTTTTCAAATAACAGAGGAGGATTGTTAAACTAACAATTTACGTGTCAGTGGAAAGAAGTGCTTTGATAGTTGTTCTAGAATTCCAGTTTTAGTTAGTATTATCTCATACTTAATTGCTGAATTAAAAGATGATGGTCTCATCTTTATCTGTCTGGATGTGGCTGAAGTCAGTGGGAGCTGTGATCCTCAAATTATGGTCCCTCCCCCGTTACTAGAGCTTCATAGTACGCATTTAAGTATTGAACTAAAACATTTTTTGTCTATCTCTATTTAGTAATACACATCTGTAAGTTTATGGAAATTGTTACTTTTATAACTGAAAGCTTGCATATGTGTTAGGAAGACAAATTTTATTCTCCTTTGTACTGTTTTCTTTAGTTTCATTCTATTTAGGGCAGTTGTTAGTGAAACGTGTTTTTTTGTATGGGTGTGTTCTGATTTCTGTTCCAGATTTTCATCAGTACAATATGAGCTAATCTTTTGTGTGCTTTCCTGCCTTTGGAATGTTTAACTTTATTTAGAACTGTTTTTATTCCCCCATGAATACTCAGAGAGGATATTAGTGTTTCTGCAGATAGTTAAGAGTACTGCAGTTGATCAGCAAGCTTGTGTAGTTACTTAAAAAAAAAAGTATTGAATATTACTGTGTTTACTTATAACCACTTATGAAGTGTATCCTTATAATTTTCTAGGTACTACTTAATTTAATGCTCGTGGATTAATATACCTCCAGTTTGCCTTTATTCATTTTCAGATGAAGTATGTGCACTGAAAACAGAGGTGGAACATTTAAGTTCCGCATAGGTCACATAAAAAATGTCTTTGCTGTCATTTCAGTTGCTATTTTGGTCTTAATCTGTTACATATACAAACAAGCATATATATGGTGTATAATTATAGATGGTATGATATCCCTTTTTGCTTCTGCTTTTGTCTAGTCTGTTGTTGAAAACTAGATGAAATGGTGCAAGGACACTGCACTGAGTGTATTGCTAGGCACAAAGCAAAAAGTAGGGCGCTATGTTTAATTTGACACTGACATTCAGGGCCATTTTATTTCATTGGATTGGGATGTTGCGGTAGATTTTTACTGCCACAGTGAAAGTAGGCATTTTCTCACTGATAGAGAGTGCAGTAAGTATTAAGTAAGACTGCTAACATTGCTGGTTGGCCTAACAACACGTAAACAGCAGAACTTCTTGTCTTCTGGATTAGAAACCTTAGCGCTCCTTAAGCACTTGGAACAGGAGGCTTCTCATTTACTCTAGTAGGACTTCTCATCAACCATTGCCTAAAACATTCTTTTGGTGTAGGTGTATTCCTTTTGTCTGGGCAATTATGATGTGATTTACCTGCCACTCGAGCTTTTTGAGTATTCTTTATAAAAATAAGACAGAACCAGCTGCTGGGACAGTTTTTTATGATTTTCATTTAATTCTTTTAAATGTAGTTCTTGGACAGTCTGCTAGAGTATTGAGGGAACTGAGTATTCATAACTTTAAACATCCCATGTGATACTGAAACACTGTTATATGATTGAGTGCTGTGCTGGGTAGGTGGGTGGGTTCTTGAAAGAAGTCATCTGCTGGTTTTGGTGCAAGTATATGTTAGTGCATGTGTTTCCCTTTGCTTCCCTGTGATTTGAATTAGATTGTGTCATAACTTTGTTTTTGAGATTAGTAAGCAAGAAGAGCCCATGGAAAAAGCATTTAGATTTTCCGGATGGTGACTCACAACCTTTACTCGGGATGAACTGCTGTTGTGCCAGCTGTTGTAGAAGTAATCACATTAGTACACGTGCTGTCCAGTCACATTGTGATACAAGTAGTAGTAGGTGTCTGTGCAATCAGATGATGTCACTGGGAAGTTGGAACTTCTGGAGGCCATCTTTCTGCTTGGAAACACACTGAGAGTATAAAATCTAAGAGACAAGAGCTCCTCTGTTCGGCAGAGCATTGCCCAAGTCTGATTCTAGAGTGAGAAGTGTCTGTGCTGTCTTTGTGTCTGAAGGTAAAGCAAATCATAGAGGAGGCTAGAAACGAAACAGCTGCAATAACTTCCATATTAGCAACCTGAGGTAAATGCTAAGCAATACAGAAGGTCTTATCAAAATGTTTGAGCTCTGAAAAGTGTTCTTGTGCTTAAATGGATCTTGTCCATCAGCAAAGTATTTCTTATAAAAAAAAAGCACAGTGCTTCGTAATTTGGACTGTGTTCACCAAGTATTGGAAACCCCCATTCTCTTCTGTTACAGCCCACTGAAGACTTGGGTAAACAATAGAACAAGAGTTTTCAAGCTTTCAGGTTGAAATGGAGGGGAAAAAAGAGGAAAAGTTAATTTCTTTATTTTTTTTTTAAAAGAAGCACTGTGTAACTCTCTTCTCTTTATATGTCTGTCTGTGTGTGTAGGCTTAGTAAGCCCAAAGATAGGCCCAATAGTCCCAAAGCTGGAGATGGATTGGTTCAGATTGGACGTTAGGAAGAAGTTCTTCCCCATGAGGGTGGTGAGACACTGGAACAGGTTGCCCAGAGAGGTGGTGGAAGCCCCATCCCTGGAAGTTTTTAAGGCCAGGCTGGATGGGGCTCTGAGCAGCCTGATCTAGTGGGGATGTCCCTGCCCATGGCAGGGGGGTTGGAACTGGATGATCTTTAAGGTTCCTTCCAACCCTGACAATTCTATGATTCTGTGAAAAGCTCTTCTGGTCTTTTTATGTAAGAATGAGAACAGGTGACAATTCATTTCATTCTGTTGAACCCTAAAGTCTTAAAAGTTTGGAATTTCTCAGTGAAGGTGTAGTGATGCCAAATATATGCATAGTGGTAGGTTTTTTAGATAACCCTATAGCAATGTTTTTCCCTCCCTTTGCCCCAAAGTTTACCTCACAAAATTAACCATACCTAAGAAAGGGGATAATGAGTAATGTAGTACGTGACAATACTCTGGGATATATAAAATTTTTTTAATAGATATTTAAATTGAGTAAAAAAATAACCTGACCTGGGCAATTTATTTTGAGATTATTGTGGCTCTGGAACAGTAAGATACAGGAAGCTAGTCTTCAGTAGCCTTATTTATCCAGAATGGCTTGCCCCAGGCTAAGGCTGAGAAATACGTAACACCATATATTCATCAATTTACATGGGGTGTTGCATGCTAGTGCCTGTAGCTCTGTTATGCTGTTAATGGGGACTTGTTAATTTGCAGGTGTATGTGCTAAGTATGTTTTTATAAGGTTAATGATGTTTTGTAGTATGAGTATAATGATACTCTGTGCTCAACCTGATCATCCTTTGCTTTGTGAGAAGAGGAAAATAACATCTGTGTCATTTTAAACAAACAAGAAAAAAAATGCTTTGTGTTATTTTTTTCTATAATAATATAATGTGGAAAATCATTGAACTCCTAACTTAAAATTCTTTTTATCCGGTGGCTTTTGATGCTGCTTGTCCAAATACATAAACCGTATTCTATCAGATTAAAGTGGTTACCGCGTGGGTGTCATGAGTGCTGTTTTGAAACTTTTCTTATTTCTGTTAAGTTTCCATACCTATAATACAGTGGCAAAACCCTAAGTGGTATGGCAGATATTTTGCTGGTTTATCCTTCTACATATACAGCATTGGCTAGCTCAAGTTCTAGACCCCTTGAAGCTCTATGCTCTTAGCTTTTTCTTGCATTAAAGAGATAAAAATGTTATTTGTTGCAGATTAATAGGAAAAGTTAATCCTTGTTTGAAAGACTGACTTCTAGTATCTGTAAACCTGATTTTGCAGTTTTGACTGGGCTGAGTTTTATCTTTGTCAGCTGGTCCATACATCATATTCAACAATACTGTACCTAGCCAGTGTCTTTTCTTTTATACAACATGAAATAATAGAACGGAAGATATTTTTTCTGATGAAGAGCTTGAGAAAGAATCTGCTTCTTTGTGGTGTTATAGGTTTGGCTAAATGCCAGTGTGCTGTTTATTGTTTTCTTTTTTTCATGTCTGGTTCAAGCTGATAAAACATCCTCTTCCTTTTGAATCTGACAAATGACTATGAATTAAATGAGTAACACATTGGAGAAACCTGAGGAAGCAAATTCTTCATTAATTTTTGCAGAAATTATATTTTGGCAAATCAGGTACGTTACTGATTAAATGGGAAGATGGTGTGGTTTTCTGGTACCACTAACTACCTCTGTGTCCCATTGACTCAGAAGAGAAGTCTATATTTAGGACCTTAGCTCCAGGGTGCTTTAGATTCTTTGAAAGCTTCTAATGAGAGGATTATTTTTTAATCTTGTGTTTACAGCATGTAAGCAAACTGTAAGCAAAGCTCATTTTCTTTTAAGGTTCTTTTTAATGAATTTTATAGTTGTGGTGGGTCTGTTTTGACTGTAGGGTAGAGACGTGCATTTGCAATGAACTGAATGTTTTCTGAAGCTGCAGTATATGCATCTTTGGTTTTTTAATTACCCGTGCTAGAAAAGTGGAGATTTTTGTGTATGCACCCAGGAAATAATTTTAGTTTTGCTGTTTTTAAAAGGAATCTATCTTTCTCTATTTTTTTGGTAAAATGAGAGGAGCCAGAGCTAGCCGTCTCCTAGTCTTCACCTGTTGCCTTCCCAAGAGAATTAACAGGAGGATGGATGTAGCTTTTCAACACTAGGGAGAAAAAGATGAAAATGCTATTCATGTGCAGCACCACATAAAAATTCATTACCCATTTGAGATGACAGCCTTCCTTTGCTGCCAGTGAGTGAAATTGGTGCTATGAGCTATATCTGCTTGCTAGTTTAGACGGTAGATGTGATATATGAACTGACTGTACTGACCCTCTATCTTCTTTCCCAAAAAACCTTCTCAAATTGCATTTTAAATATATTAAAATGTGGCATGAATTTTTATTTTTTAAGGACATTTTAAAAATTGTGAGCTGCAGTGAAGCCAAGTAGGAGAATTCAATGCTTTTGCAACAGCTCTTAATAGGGACAGAGTTTCATGTCCTGTTTAGTAATCCTAACCTCTCCTGCTTCTCAGAGGGTCCCATCAGTGCCCGCCTGTTGGCACAAGTGATGATGCAGCCATCTGATCAGCATTTCAGAAAGCCAGTCTTAGCAGAAAACTTGCTAGTTTGGAGGAACCCTCTAAAGCCAGGTCACCTCCTAATCTGGCTCAGAATATGGCTGTTGGTACCGGTGTGAGAAGGCTCAGGAACATGCCACAGGAGAGAGAGAAGGTCCTTCTAGTGTCAGACTTCCTTTCAGTTAATTTAGGCTAGTTGTTAGCTAAAGATTTGGCTTCACAGAAGACCAACTTGACCAAATGGACTGACTTGGCCATAGTGCTGTAGTAGTCTCTACACCTTGTTTTAACATAAGAGTATATTCCTCAAACTCAGTGATTGACAGGTAGGCATCTTGTGTGCCTGGGTAAGTAGAGACTGACCTGCTGCTTACATTGAAGGTGGGAAAAAGATGAGCAAAGGCTATCTTGCTTTCTGAATAAGTGTTGTCGTGTACTTTGTTTACAGAGCAGTAAAGTTTGAAGGGCTCTTCATATGCTGTGTTATTCCTGTCTCATGTGCTAAAGGAATAAAGTTTGCCTCGTGCTAAAGGAATAAAGTTAATTGCCTCGGTGAAGAGTTGGAGAGGGCAGATGAAGTTATTGAAATTACTTTGGGATCAGAACTCATTATGACAATCTGGCACTGTGAGGCTGCTCAGACTGAAATTTTGTGAAGGGCTAATTTGGTAGAATCTGCATCTAGGACATGTCAAAGTTGGGTAAAGAAGATACATCTGTCCTTCTGCATTCTAAGGAAGCTTGGAGCACACCAGTAGTTCTGAATTCATTGCAGCAGCTGCAGTACTCAAGGGCAAACTTGACAGAAAGTTTTCTTGTAAACAAAATATTTTGTATAGTTAGTACATTAGAAAAAATAGGACATTTTCTATATTATGTTTACACGTTTCTCTTGTGCTTTTCTGAGCTAAATGGTGCAACCATTTGAGCTATGGATGGGTGTATGAACATAAACCTAAGCCATCTCTTGTAGTTACTGGGGTTAGTTCTTGGTTTTGTGATAAGCCATGTTCATGAGCAAGAGAAGATGTAGCAGCAGCTGTGATTCAGGCGCCAAGCCCCCAAAACGTCTTGGGCTTCAATATACAATGAACTGAACAGCTGTTCTCCATCTCCTCTGATGATAAAGATGGCAAACTCAATGTAATAATTTTTTACTGTGGCTCCTAGGTGTATTGGTCTGGGCTGAACATGTTGTTTTGTAGCTTATTAACATTTAGTAAATCCGTCTAGTGTGGTTGTCCATGGTAGTTATTTTTGTTGATAAAACTTATCACATTTATCACTTTTTGGTAGATTTATTTTCCAGATTTTGTTTATTTTGTCTTCTCAGCTGTTATGCTCTGTTATGTTCTTGCATTTTGCTTAACAGTAAAACTGCTATGTGGTAGATATGACGGAATCTCAAGTAACTTTTGAGTAGGCTGTGAACTAAGCTTGAAAACTGTTCATTTTCTCTGACTAAAGCTTTCCTAATTCCTTGAAAAACAAATTCATTTGATTTACTTTTGGATGAAGAAAACAGTTGTAAGGTTTCTCAGGAATATTGTGAGTATAGAGAGCTCTCTCTAAACCTACTTTGACCACTTAACAGGGTGCTTGGCAGGGTGAGGGTTTTGCTCTGATTGCGCACAGACAGCAGGGATGACTTGACAG